TCCATCTCATTGAGGGTCTTCCTCTCCTGTGCTGTCCCTCCACCCTCCCAAGCATGACATCCCTCTCCAAGGACTGGTCCCTCCTTGCAACATGTCCAAGGTATGTGAGATGAAGCTTCAGAATCCTTGCCTCCAAGGAACAATCTGGCTTCACTATCTCCAGGACAAACCTGTTTGTTTTCCTAGCAGTCCGTGGTATATTCATTACTCTTCTCCAACATCACAGCTCAAAGGGATCAATTCTCCTTCTATCCTCCCTAGTCATTGTCCAGCTCTCTGATGCATAACAAGTGATTACAAAGACTATGGCCTGAATCAGGAGCACCTTAGTCTCCAGACTGACATCCTTGCACTTCAGCACTCTAGAGAGGCATGCATAGAAGATAGCAAATATTTCTTCATAGCTAACAAGTGCTTTTTGAGTCTATTCTTTGCATAGTGTGTCAGCTGTCTCCAAAAGTTCTGCATAGTAAGTATTCCCCTCACAATAAGGACAGTTTTCTCCCCAGGGAAGATGTGTTCTACAGATGTGAGAGTACCTATTGTCCCAATAGATCTGCTTCTCTGCATTGTACGTCCCAGGGAAACTGGAACTATGCAGTCTTCAGATGTGAAACACACACATCTCTTTTGTAAATCAAGTTCTTCTTTGCTCACATGACAGTGATATTTTTGTTTTGTTTCCAGTGAAAACCTGTGATGATTTCCCAGACCAACTCCCAAATGGCCGTGTACTCGTTCCTCCTAGTCTCCAGCTCGGGGTAAAAGTGACCTTCATTTGTAATGAAGGGTGAGTGCGATCTGAGATAGAAGCCAAAGATTGGATGAGGGACAGCAACTCTTACAGTTGATATTTAACCCAAATGGGGGGGCATAATCTACTGGGGGGAGTCATCTTTTAAAAGGGAGATGAACTTCATGAAGAGTGATTTTAAAATAAAGGTAAAGACTCATTAGAAACACAACCAGGAATAAGTAGAAAACAGCACATGTAACAAAATGTCAAGTATAAGCATAAATACAACCTCTGATCATGACTGCTTGGTAGGAATTTGAATAGGTAATATATTGAATAGGTAAGTAGTTTGTTGACTAGGGAAATTTTTAGAAAGTTTGCTAGGAAAGAGTTTGATGTATTTGTTTGCAATGTGATAAGTCAGGCAACAGTTGTTTTAGGAAACTTAAAACCAGTCAGTGGTGGAATTCATGTTAGTATGAGTATTTTTAAATCCAGTGGTGTACCTTCCTATCAGTAATGGGGTTTTGACATTGATATTTAAAAAAATGTCCAATGTTACTGTTTTCAGTAGTGTTACTAGCTGTTCACGGAATTCTGATAATCTCAGTGGGGTGCATTATCAGTCTTCAGGAAATAGCAAAACTGGTTATTGAAGCAGTTCTTTTTAATGTGTTCCCAAGGACTTTATGGTGTTTACAAAAAAATCTCCCACTCAGTAATAATCAGCAGATTTGTGAGCAAAGGATCAGATAATAAGATGGGTCTTTCAGGGGTAACTTTCTGAAAAGAGGCTCCTCCCTTCACCTTATTTTCATTTCCTAGAACATTTTCTACCCTCTGTGCTTCTGGGAACCTCCATCTGTCTTATTGGAAATGTGGGACAAGAAAAAACAGTGTCTTCTTTCTGCTTTACACATCCAGATCGAGAGCTGTTCCTCTGTCTTCTTTCTGAGCTACTAATAGGTAGTATTTGGAAGCAGGAGGGGCATCCATTTCCTAAACAGCAAGCCTCTGGAAACTCTGTGAACTTTGATAAATAGTGATGGTTGTGCAAGAGCTTCAGGCCTTTTGTTCATGGGGTCGCTATGAGTCGTGCTCGACTTGATGGCAATCAACAACAACAATAGGTATTCTATCAGAAAGTCATAAAGAAGAATGAACTTAAAAAGGACTGGATCTCATTCATGAAGTCGGTGATGCCCAACTGCTGTGTCTGTGTGATTATTACATATTTGCCAATCACAGGATACACCTAGTCCTTAGAATAATTTGGCCTCTAAATTCCTGTCAGCTGCTAAAGCCCGGTTCCTATTGAACCATGACTTTTAGCTGAACCTGCACTGCACATAAGAACAGGATTGTATTTAAACTGACGTGACGTCACTGAGCGTCTAACAGAGAAGAGATGAAGAGAAAGGAGTTGCTCATGGATTCACTGCTGCTTTTGTTTCTTCAGGTTCCGACTAAACGGCAATTCTGTTAGTCATTGTGTTGTGGCTGGAATGAAAAGCCTTTGGAATGGCAGTGTTCCTGTCTGTGAGCGTAAGTAGAAGGAATAACAAACAACGCAGCCCGAACATGCTTTTTTTTTTCTCTAGTGTGTTTTACCTCATGCCATTCCCTGCTGTCTGTATCTCTGTTTAGTTAACTGAGCGAGCTCCTGCAAGAAGTTCTTGGGTTAGGCTAGTGCTGCTAACTAAAAGGCTGTCCTCTCTGGCAGTTCGAATCCCCCAGCTGTTCCTCTGAAAAAAAGACAATCTCCTCCTATGCTATTTACTGCCTTGGAAAACCTAGAGGGTCCCCTGGGACTCATCTCTGACTCAAAAGCAGTTGGAGGTGGTTTGGGGGGGGGGGGGCTTTTTAAAAAAACTAAGTTACCGAAAGAGTTCTCTGTTGAATTTCAAGGAGCGTCTTCTAGATCTTGTACAGCATGTATGTTTATGACACTAATTTTTAAGTCACTAGTTTAATAACAGTGTTGATTTGGATAGGGAAATGTGGGGAGAAACAATGTAATGTGATAACGCATCACGTTTTGTTTATTAATTTATTCTTTAGTTTTGTGTTATTGCTATGTACCATCAAGTTGGAGGTGATTAATAGTTGACCCTGCAGTGGGTTTTCAGAGGCAGTAAACTGAACAGGAAGAGACTGTCTGTCTTTCTCCCATAGAGCAGCTAGTGGATTCAAATTGTGTATCTTTACATCGCCTGTGCAATTCTTTACCATTAAGCCACACCAGAGCTCCCTATTATTTTCTCTTAAATGCTTATGCCCTCAAGTCTCATACACAGCTCAACTATTTATTTATCCTTTTATTCAATCCAAAAGGAGCTTTGGTGGCCGAGTTCATAGTGTGAAGTGCTGCTAACCTAAAGTTCAGTGGTTCAAATCCACCAGTGGGAAAAAAGATGGGCAATTTCCTTCCAATAAAATTGCAGTCTCTGAAACTCAGGTCGCCATGAGTAGGAATTGCCATGAGTTTGTGTGATTTTCATGATGTTTGTTCTTTGAAATCTAGTCCAAAATATTTATAAGATAGAGACTTGTCATGCCCAAGACCTGGCTTGAGAAAGTATGAATGTATGAAAGTATGAATGAGGAATACTCATTCCTGCTCTCATAGACTTTACTTTCTAGGTCAAGAGGTGAACAATGAACAAGGAAGCAAATAAATATGCAAATTAAAAAATTAAACCACATACAATGATAATTTACATAGTAATAAGTATAATTTAGAAAATGAGAGTCTTGTGCCGTTTAACTCATAATAGCTCCAACTCCGGACATCTTTGGTAAAGGACCAAAGACTGATAAATTCCAGAGTGAAACCTGAGTATAGAAAATGAGAGTCTTGTGATGAGTTATAATGTCAGAATACTTTGTTATAAATCTGGACATCTTGTGTTGAGTATGGTGATGAGACTTTAAAAGGAAATTTAATATTTGGAAGCTAAAAATAAAAATATATCAATAAATTCTGGGTAAACCTAAACAAATAGATAAATTCCAGCAATAGGAGGTCATCCATTATTTAATATACAAGGCCCTACTTCAATTATATACACAATTCTCCCAGACTTGGGCACCTCTTCCTAAACCACATCAGATTTGAAGTGCCCAGTGAATTTTAGGGAGAGGGCTTCTACAAACAGACAGATGGAAAGCAGGAATTCCCAAAGGAAAGACAAAATGGAATGAAAATCAGTGGTACTCTGGAGCCATTTAATCTGATTATATGGTGATCAGTGTGTTCTGATGACACTATTGGATATTCATTATTGGTGTTGGAGAAGAGCACTGAACATCCCATGGCCTTCCAAAAGAACAAACAGATATGGCTTAGAGAAAGTGTAGCCAGATTGCTCCTTGGAGGCAAAGATGATGAGGCATCACCTCGTGTGTTTCAGGCATGCTCTTAGGAGAGGCTATTCCTTGGAGAGGGACATCATGCTTGGAAAGGTATCGGGTCAATGAAGGAAAGGAAGACCGTCAATCATATTGATTGACACAGAGACGGCTGCAGTGGGCTCTAGTGTATCAGGAAGTGTGAGGGTGGCGAAGGACATGACAAGGTTCCGACCTGTTGTTCATAGAGTCTCTATGGGTCATACTCAACAGTACCTAACAACATTGATAAAAACAGATATTAAATAAGAAACATTTTCTTACTTCTGTTGGAGATAATAATAAATGCTTAATAAACTTCACAAAGATTTCCTTGGAGCATAAAGTATTTTAGGGCCAGAACGCTGTCTTAAAGCCTACACCCATTCTCAACCCAGGAATCTTATGATGTCTGACACAAAGTGGATGGTCAAATGTTCCTTTAATGAAATTATTTCTTTTCCAAAATAGTCAAAACCGCTTTAGAAGTTTTATCTCTTGGGGGGAAAAAAAAGTTTTATCTCTTGGAAAAACTGAACTCTCTGGAGGGTCCAGAAAAGTTGAACATCATTAAAGCTTTTGGAATAAAATACTACTCAGTTTTCATGTTAGTTTGTTCTTTCCTGGCAAAAGTCTCACATACCACCAGCTGCTCAGCAGGAAGCATGGGCTGTCTACTTCCGATTCACTGCCTCTGAAAACCTGCTGGAAAGTCAGCTATGAGTTGGTTCCAACTCAACAGGTCCACAACCACCACCACCAACAACAACTTCGTTAGTTAGATTCTAAGGGAATAAAAATTTCTTCTCAAGACATCACACATAATACCCTAATTAAAATTGTACGGCAACTTTTTTCTAGCAATCTTTTGTCCAAGTCCTCCGGCTATCCTTAATGGGAAACACACAGGAAATCCTCTAGGAAACATTTCCTATGGAAAAGAAGTCTCTTATACATGTGACTTTGACCCAGACTCGGGGATGACCTTCCGCCTCATTGGGGAGAGCACCATTCGTTGCACGAGTGACAACCATGGGAATGGCAAGTGGAGCAGGCCCGCCCCTCGCTGCGAGCTTCCTGTTCCTCTAGGTTAGTACACATTTCCTTAAGCCTCACCTGGGTCAGATTACCTAAGCTAGAACTTCCTTATTTGTGTAATGACAGCAATTGTTGCTCAGGAGCCAGCTCAGTTATGAATGCAGAGACAGAAACCCCCGCAGCTGGTCGACATGTGGGTCTGAGTACACGAAGTTGTCCCTTCCTGCAGGGGTGAGGAGAGTGAGTGTCAAAAAGAGTCAAGAACAGCAGGGAACAGTCTTGTAGAGATATTTACAAAACCTTGAAAACAAAAGGTAGAAGATAAAAAAATTTAAAAAACCCCAACCCAAACCTGTTTTAGTAATTAGACAGTTACTGGTTGTCTTTATGCTATGTAGTCTAGAAAGATGTGCCTAATACAAAGTTAGGGAACTCTGGTGGCCTACTTTAAGGAGATGTGCTGCCAGTCTGAAGGCATAGGGTTCAAACCCACCAGAGGCTCTCAGGGAGAAAGATGGGCAATCTCTTCCTACGTGATTTATAGTCCCTGAAAACCTACCTGCTAGAGGGTCAGCTGTAAGTGGGTTCCAACTTGATAGCACATAATAGCAACAACAATACACAGAAAGTACATGTTGAAGGCAGTACTTCAGAGTTGATGCTGTAAAAAAATTTAAAGAAATTCAGATATAGGCATTTATATTTTTGTTATTTCTAAGTGTTTAAAGTCTTGCATTATGGTGTTGGAAAAAAGTACTGACTATCCCATGGACTGCCAAAAGAACAAACAGATGTATCTTGGGGAAAGCACAGCCAAGGTATTCCTTAAAGACAAGGATGGTAATGCTTTGTCTTACATATTTTGAGCTACAATGGGCATATTGTTAGGAGAGACCAGACTTTGGAAAAGAACATCATGCTTGGAAAGGTAGAGGGTCAGAGAAACAGAAGAAGATCCCCAATAAGAAGGATCAACACAGTGACTGTAGCAATGGGCTTACATATATCAGGGATGATGAGGATGGCACCGGAGAGGGCTAGGTTCAGATCCTTTGTTCATAAGGTTGCTATAAGTAGTGGTCAACTCAATGGCACAACAGTCTAAATGACATGATAGTCACAGGCTCAGCTGCGGCTCTGACTGAGCCCACAAACTTCATCCTCCAGAAAGGACAGAATGTTGAATAGGCAGCTAACAGAGCCCTTGATAAATCCCATCTGAGATAGTTTTCTTTTTTATTTTTTTTAAGATAGTTTTCTAATACGAGAACACAGAGGACCATTGTTGAAGGCTGAGAAATCTGGGTTTTAAAGAATCTATCTTTCCACTGATCATAGACTCCTTGGCATAGGACCAACCTATCTCAGGTCTTTGTGTGCCTCTTATTGGATGTGTTGACTTGCTTTTATTTCTATGCTTAATTGAATGCCCTTTTCTGTGTTTGTGTGGGAATTTACCTTTAGCATGCCCTCATCCACCTAAGATCCACCATGGACATCACACTGGAAGCCGTGTGTCTTACCTTCCTGGGATGATAGTCAACTACGTTTGTGACCCTGGCTACCAGTTGGTGGGAAAGGCCTTCATCTTCTGTACACACAAGGGAACCTGGAGCCAATTCTTTCATCATTGCAAAGGTATGTCATGTCCTGATTTCTTAATCTTGGTGGATTAATGTTATGGGGCTAATAAGGCTGAGAGATCATTTCTGAAAAGACAATGAAATAATTACCAATAAAAGAAGAGAAAAGCAGGACAAGGAAGGAAGGACCTTCACCTCCAACAACTCAGTACAAAGAGTTGGTGGGATTTCTAGTTAAGCAGTAGAAAACAAACCACAACTTAAAATGCTTTACTAGAATTTATCTAATAAGTTATAAAAGAACTTCACAGTAGGAGTCAAAGGTAGTCCTCACATGGAAAAATATCCTTAGCAAGTAAATGAGGCACTAGAAGCTCTCTTTGTTGTCTAGTGAAGGAGTATCTTATCAACCGCACCTGAGCAGAGATGCTGAGAGCAATTAACTTCTGCATACAGAGTGACAGTAATGCCAAAGACCAAAGGTGGGAGTTTGTTTATTTAATCTCTTCCATGGAAGGAACTCCTCAGGAATTATTTCTTTTATTACTGCTTGTGTTTGAAGATATATAACTTTAAAAGCCTTTGGTTAGCAGCATGCTTAAAAAGCTACAAAACAAGAATTTAAAATAATATCCTATGACCAAGTACTATGTTGAACTAATTACAAAAGCTTTTGTGTTAAAGCAAGCAGTTTGAAATCACTAACTGCCCCGTGAAAGAAAGATGGTCAGTTTTCTCTTGTGCATTTTACAACCTCTGAAAATCCACTGAAAAGGGTTAACTATGAGTTGGTTCCAACTTAATGTCAATGAATTTGAGGTTTTTTGAATAAAGATGTCTAGAAAGCCTTGGAAAGGCCAAACTGTAGTCACAGCAAGGAGAACAATGATTGCCTGAGATGTGAACTGAGGAAAGGGATCAAAGGGCATCAGAACATTTTCTATAATAACACCAGGCTCCTCTTCCTCTCTCTTATTGTGATGTGGTTATGTAACTATTTATAAATATTAAAATTCATTGTTGTTGTTGTTGTTATGTGCCATCAAGTCATCTGCGACTCATACCGACCCTATATACAATAGTCCTAAGCCAGGCTATGTCCTGGGCCAGTCTCACGGTCTCCGACACACCCAACCCTCATTACCCCAGTCACTGAATTAATCCATCTCAGAGAGGGTCTTTCTCTCCTGTGCTCTCTCTCCACACTCCCAAGCAGTATGTCCCTCTCCAAGGACTGGTCCCTCCTTGAAACATGTCCAAAGTATGTCAGACGAAGCTTCAGAATCCTTGCCTCCAAGGAGCAGCCTGGTTTAACCTGCTCTAGGATGAACCTGTTTGTTTTCTTAGCAGTCCATGGTATATTCAACACTCTTCTCCAGCACCACAGCTCAAAGGCATTCCTCTATCATCCCTAGTCATTGTCCAGCTCTCTGATGCATAGCAAGTGATTGCAAAGACCATGGCGCGTATCAGGCTCACCTTAGTCTCCAGAGTGACATCATTGTTCTTCAGTACTTTGGAAAGGTCTCTAGCCGCATGCTTTCCCATCATAATATGTCTTTTAATTTCCTGGATGCTGGTGCCAAGAATGTTGATTGTTGAGCCAAACAAACTAAAGCTGTTAAGAATCTCAATCTCTTTACCATCTATCATGATGCTGCCCAGTGGTGAGAATTTTGTCTTCTTCATATTGAGCCTCAATCCATACTGAAGGCTGCAGTCCTTGACCTTCTGCTGTAAGCGCTTCAGGTCCTCAGTTTCAGCAAGCAGGGTTGTGTCATCTACATAATGCAGATTGTTGATGAATCTTCCTCTAATCCTGATGCCACATTTCTCTTCATAAAGCCCAGCCACTCAGTTAATCTGTTTCTTTAATCTTACAAAATTATAAGTACTTTTGGTTTTAGTTTTCTGTTCTTTTATTCTTTAAAATAATACTAGCCAAGAGCAAAGAAGTTCTAGACTAAGGGCAGGAAGAACTTGGCACATGCCCATGTTTCCAAAGTTAAGGAGCATTTGGCCTCATGGGCTGCCCTCATTAGAAAATTGTAAGGTCCATCTTGTCCTAAAAGTCTCAGAAATTCTTTTCATTCTAGTTCTTCTTGTAGTTGCTATGTTCTCTTGAGTTAGAACCAGCTCATACCTTACCCTCCAGCTATAAATCACATGGAAGGAGATTGTCCATTTTCCCACTGAGTAACTGGTAGATTCAATCTTTGGGTTGACAGTACAACACCTTACCCATGACTACACCAGAGCTCCCTCTAATTTCCTTGATCTTATCATTTTATAAATAGAGTTAAGAGACCCATCCCCATGATAGCAAGTGACAGTCTTCTGTTCATTTTTAAGTATGGAATGAGCAAAATAATACTTTCTGTGATGCTTTCAGTATGGATTGTGTCTTAATATTAGGAAGGCAAGGATTCTTGCCACTGGACCAATAGGCAGTGTCATGATGGATGGAGAGGAGATTGAAACTGTCAACAGCTTCATCTTCCTTGGATCCACAATTAGCACCCTTGGTACAAGCAGTCAGAAAATAAGGAGATGCATTGCAATGGGAAAGTCTGCAGTTAGGGACCTTTCCAAATTATTGAGGAGTAGCAGTGTCAGATTGAGAACTAATGTGTGTCTGATTCAGGCTATGGTCTTTCCAATTACTAGCTATGTATCTGAGACCTGGACAATGAATGAGGATGGGGAAAAAAAGTAATTGATGCCTTTGAGCTGTGGGGTTGGAGAGGAGCACTGAACATCCCATAGATGGCCAAGACAACAAATAGATATGTCTTGGAGAGGGTGCAGCCAGAGGGCTCTGTGGAGGCAAGAATGATGAGCCTTTACCTAACATACTTTGGACATATTGCTAGGAGATGCTATTCCTTGGAAGACATTATGTTGGGAAGGGTGGAGGGTTGGCAAAGGAGAGGAAGGTCCTCAATCAGGTAGATTGAAAAGATGACTGCTGCAGTGGGATCTTATGTGCCAGGAAATGTGAGGGTGGCACAGAACAGGACTAGTTTCAGTTCTTTTGTTCATAGGGTCAGTATAAGTCATACTTGACTCCATGGCACCTAACAACAACAACAAGTGATGCTATAGAAGCCTGAAAACGCATCCCAAAAATGCATCCCTCTTTGTTTTAGCCACCTACAGAAACAGGACAATTCTGGGAATATTTTAAAGATTAAGTATAGAAATGAAGGGCTCGCAAAGGATTATGTTGTTCAATTGATAACTGCTTTCTTTTCATCGATGTAAGAGGTATTTTGCCCTCTCTGTCCGCCCAAACATCTTATGGCAGTGGACTATCTGTAGCATAATCAAAATTAGCCATAAACTGTGCATAAAAGTCAGATTCTTAGGCTCTGTTCTCATAGACTCCAGTTCTAACTATTTTGAAGGAGGAAGTGGTCTAGAAGGCTATTTCTCACAAACCCATCGGAATATTCTAATGTAAAATGATCAGAGACCACACTTTGAAAAATACCCCTTTACCTTGCTGATTTTCATAAAAGAAAACAATTAGGCCGATTCTATAACTGTTGTTGTTGTTGTTAAGTGCCGTCAAGTCACAGGCGACTCATAGAGACCCTACCCTATAAAGGAGAGTCCTTGACGCTTGGGTGTCTCTCATCCTCTCTCCAGGTTCATAGGATTTCCAGAGGCAAGCTATTATGGAAGTGGATGTCCCTCCTCCTTCCAAGCTTGTTTTAATCGGGGAGCTCCACCCAACTCTCTGTCCACATTGGCTAACCAGCCATTAACGCAGTTGACACATCAGTGTCACAGGGTTCAGCCTCACAGCAACCACAAGTGACCCTGCTACGGCAATTTGTACACCAGGATTATACGACATAGAGGAATGTCTGAACAAAAACAATGAAAGACAGGCCCGAGGGCTGCAGATTAAGAGTCACCCACCTTTGGCTTGGTAGCATTGCTTTTTCTGTCCACTGGGCCAGCTAATCCCTCTCAACTAGAAGTAAAAAAGTAGACATTGCTTAAAGTTGAAGCATATGTTGATGAGTAAGCAGAAACAAAATAAGATTAAAAGTCCAAATCAAACACATAGCCATCAAGTCAATGCAGACTTCTACCCACCCTACAGGACAGAGTAGGATTTCCCGCCTTCAGTGGTGCAAACCACCCATCTTACTCCTCCAAAATAAACCGAGGAAGACTTAAAGGAAACAAAGTAAATGAAGTAGTAAAATTATGTTTTACATTCAGAATCATGATACACTAACATCTTTGTTCCAAAGGCAAAAATGTACCCAAAACATATTTAATCATCATGGGGGGAAAAATACCAGTATTTGTTTTATATCCAGAGAAAGTTAATTTCTGTTTTCTTATGGTTAAGCCCACATAGATCCAGGTCTAAAGCATGCTTATCCTAAGCCATGATCTTTCCACAATTTTCTGTTTGCAGAATTGTTATAATTGTTAATAATGACGATGAATATGTAGTATTTTGCATACTCAATATGGGTAGGCCAATAATGCTTGATTGCAAATCTGTTTTCTCTTTGCTGAGAGCAAGGTAGGTTTAAAGGCATAGATCTTTCCATCATGATATTCTCAACTAATAATTAACAATAAAGTAATAATAAATTACTAAATAAATAATTTCTTCCTTTTCCCAATTTCAGAGGTAAACTGTAGCCTCCCACAGTTTATAAGTGGAATCCGGAAGGAATTGAACTACAGGAAGATTTATCACTATGGAGATAACGTGACTTTGGAATGTGAAGCTGGATACACTCTAGAAGGCAGTCCTAAGAGCCAGTGTCGGGATGATGACAGATGGGACCCTCCCCTGGCTCATTGCACCTCAAGTAAGTGGAAATGCTTGGAAAGAAGTGGCCCTGCCCAGTTACATTTACAGTTCATTCACTCCACAAGTATCACAGGTATCAAGAGAAAGTGTAATGTGTGGTATGTTTTAGGAAGTAAGGAGTGCAGTGTGTGCGCCCCTCTTTTTCTGAATCACCCTAACTAATGACAGTGAGGCTGACTTCACATTCCTCATACTTCTGGCCCCATCTTGAGTACTCATCCATCTCCTCTCTAAGTCCACTCTCAACCCCTTTTGTTTATATCACTCTGTTTTGCTATGCATCACAACATCTCGTGCCCTTAGAAGTCAGGAGCATGTTACTGTTGATATAAGCCCTTTATGCTTTCAGGAGGGTAGAGCAAGACAGCAAAACCAGCAGATATTAGCATTTACAGCTCCAGCAAATAACCCCCGACCAATAAATAAGAACATGCCCAGATAGAGGTCTCAGGACTCTGAACAGCAACTGAGGCATTAGGCACTTGGGGTGATTCCAGATGCAGTGCAGAGAAGTCGGGGGATTACACAGAAGCTGGAAGAACCTACGTGTTAACATGAGGAACTCACGCACGTCACTGCCATTTAGGGTCAGGGCTAAGTGCCGTGTGTCAGCTTGGCTGACTCTACAATCATTCCCTTGAGATTTCACATAAGCATTTCCTTGATGAGGAATTATGTAATGAAATCTGCTTTCAGCAGCAAATTAGTTGCAAGGGAGTTTTATCAGAGATAGGGCCTACATCAAATACATAGATGAACATCTGACAAAGCTCTCTGGCTTTTGTTCAGTCTGCATCCTGGATCTGGCTGCTTGCCTTCGGCTTGCCTTACCTGCCAGTCTCGCATTCATCATTCTCTGCAACCAGCAAGCTGATACCTTCCCTTGAATTTATTAGTCACCATAGCTGAGTCAGGAAAAGTCACTCTCCCATGATCTGACTCACAGACCGGGGGCTTACCCTCTATCAGCGTATACGCTCCTACCCTCAGCACAGAAAAGTTGATCCCTGCTATTTACATCAGCGTCCGTAATCAGATACCACCACCACCACCTCCTACACCCATGTATACATATGGAATTTCAGAGACTTAGTGTCCAGAACTCCTGAACCGACAGTGAAAAAAGCCCAAGGATAAGAATATCCTCGAATTATTCCCAGAAGATACTGAATCCCCTGCTGCTGAGTCTGTTCTGACTCACAGAAACCCCGTAGGGCAAATGGAGCAGCCTCCATGAGATCCCTAAGGCCCTGATTCCTGGCCGCAGCGGACCGCATGTCTTACAGAGTGACTGGGAGGGGCAGGCTTCCGTCTTTAAATGGCAGACAGATATTTGAGGGAACTAAAGCAGAAAATCCTCCTGCAAAAACCAGGATAGAACCTTTAAGGTAAAAACATAAAAGCAGGAGAGTCAGGGTGAGACGAGCCAATCAAAAGCAAAATATAAAGAAACAAATTCCTCCTGGGGAGACAAGACTAATTGGAAAATTTGAACTCATTGCTGTCAAATCTGACCCTCCATTGAGGTTCTGAGGCTGTAAATAGTACAAGAGGAGATGATGCATTTTTGTGCCCTCAAAACTGCTGGTGGATTTGAACAAACATGAAAGTGCAGCCTTGGGGTTAGCAGGACAGCTTCTTAGGGACTACGTCACCAGAGCTCCCTAACTAACTCTAAGAATTGATAATTTTCAGACCCAGATGCTAAATCTATTTAAAGAAATACATATAAAAAAAAAATACCAACCCAACCTCTCACATAAAACAAACTTGCAGATCAGGAAAGACATTAGGGAACAAAATGTGAGATTCTAAAAGGAAATTGAATGTATGACAACAACCTGGAACAAGGGGTGCATTGCAGGGAGGACTAGGAGGGGGGAAGGAGAGTAAAGAAAATGTGCAATAATGGCAAAAAATAAAACTATTTTCGATGTCTAAAAAAAGTAAATTGAGGACATAGTAATGAACTCTTGTGACTGAAAAATAAAGGGACTAAGTTGGGGGGAAAAGCATAATAAGAACTTAACAATTGAGTTGAAGAGACAGAACACAGAATAAATGAAATTGAAGATTTTGTACTGAACTAAGTCTCAAGAGAAAAGGCAAAGGAAAGCAAACAAAAACTAAAGGAAGCATGAGATTCAGTTAAGAAATCTACTCTTAGAATTACTAATAAAGATAGAAAACAACTTCCAAAAAACTTCTAAAAAACTTTCCTTCCCCCCCCCCACAACAAAAAAAATATTTCCCGTACTTTAAGAAACAACTAAACCTGCAAATACGGGAAGTTACATAAACTAATCAGTGGACAGCCGGTTTTGTCAACTCTATTCAGGGGAGATTTAATAAAAGATGCTAGAAAATAAAACAGGACTCCTGCTTCACACAATACGTAAAAACAAGTTCAAATGTATCAAAGACCTAAATTTTATTTTTTAAATTATGACTTGAAGATAAGTTTACCAAGAAAAGTTGTTATTCTCTCATTTATTTATTTATATACGTTTTGTTTTATTATCGCATTCACTTCAATCACCACAATGTATTCATACTTTCTCCACTTCTTCCTTGTTAGTCCATTAATCCTTCTTATCCTCCCACCCGCCCACCCCCTTCTGCCTTCAGGACTTGATCCTTGGGTAAGTACTACTTTTTTTGACCTTATATAGTTAGCTATTCTAAGGCATGAATGACTGCCTCCCTGATGCTGTTGGCCTCCTTGTAGACCTGTTGTATGGCTGAAAGTTGTTTTGTTCCAGGTTCAAATAGTGACCAAGGGTCATGGTCTCCGGGGTCTCACCATTCTCTGTTGAATGGGCAAGGCTGTCTTTTCTATAATTTTTTGTTTTGTTCCACATTTCTCCTCACTATCTAAGAACCCTTACTAGGGTCCCTTTTACAGTGGTTGATAGTGGTAGTGGGTGCCATCTGGTTCTGCTCATCTCAGGATGGTGGAAGTTGACATTCAAATGGTCCATTAGTTCTTTGGACTAGTTGTTGCAGTATGTCTTTGCTTTTCTTCCTTGTTTTTTGTCCCAGAACAAGAGAAACTAAAAATATCACCATACGTGGCTGCTCAAACCCTTCAAGGCTCTAGTCACTCTAGTCACCAATGTAGAATGTAGAACATTTATGTTATGTCTACTTAGCTTAATATAAAAATTTACTTAATAAAATTACTTAAACCTAATGTCTACATTATGCAGATAACACACTCTGCTTGCTGAAAACTGAGGAAAACCTGAAGCACTTGCTTCAGAAGGTCAAGGACTTCAGCCTTCAACATTGATTCAAATTCAATATCAAGAAAACAAAGAGTCTCACCGCTGGGCCGCTTGGCAGTATCATGATAGATGGTGAAGAGATTAAGATTGTTAACAGCTTCAGTTTGCTTGGCTTTACAATTAACACTCTTGGTACCAGCAGCCAGGAAATTAAAAGACGAATTGCATTGGGAGAGTCTGCTGTCAGAGACCTCTCCAAAGTACTGGAGAACAACAATGTCAGTCTGGAGACTAAGGTGTGCCTGATACAGACCATGGTCTTTGCAGTTACTTACTATGCATCAGAGAGCTGGACAATGACTAGGGATGATAGAAAGAGTGATGATGCCTTTGAGCTTTGGTGATGGAGAAGAGTATTGAATATACCATGAACTGCTAGGAGAACAAACAAGTTTATCCTGAAGAGGGTGAAGCCAGGCTACTCCTTGGAGGCAAGGATTCTGAAGCTTCGTCATCTGACATACTTTGGCCATGTTTGCAAGGCGTGATCAGTCCTCGGAGAGGAACGTCATGGTTGGGAGGGTGGAGGGACAGCACAGCACAGAAGTGGAAGACCCTCAATGAGATGGATTGATTCAGTCACGGGGTAAGAGGGATAGATGTGTCAGAGACAATAAGATTGGCAAAGGCAGCACTCCTTAAAAAGAGAAACAAGTTAGGAGGCATCTCACTCCCTGATTTCAAATCCTACTACACTGCCATGGTGGTCAAGACAGCTTGGTACTGGTACAATGACAGACGCATAGATCAGTGGAATAGAATTGAGAACCCGGAAATCAGCCCATCTACCTATGGTCAACTGATTTTTGACAAGGAGATGAAATCAGTTAAGTGGGGAAATGATAGCCTTTTTAACAAATGGTGTTGGCAAAATTGGAAAACTATCCTCAGAAAAATCAAGCAAGATCCACACCTCACTCCATACACAAAAACCAATTCAAGGTGGATCATGGACCTAGGACTAAAACCAAGGACTATAAACTTTATTAAAGAAAAGCTTGGAAGAACGCTAGAAGTTCTAACCCAAAACATAAATAGTCTTCCAAGCATCCTGAAAAATCTACAACCAGGAGAGGATAAAGTGAATGGGACCTTCTAAGAATCAAATCCCTATGCACGTCCAAAAACTTCTCCAACAGGGTAAAAAGGGAAACCACAGACTGGGAAAAAGTATCCAGTAATGACATGTCAGATAAGGAACTTCTATCTAGAATTTATAAAATACTCAAGCACCACAACAAGATAAAGGTAAATAAACCAATTGAAAAATGGGCACAGGATGTGAAGAGACACGTCACCAAAAAAGACATTCATGGCAAACACACACAGAAGAAATGTTCAAAATCCTTAGCTCTAAGAAAGATGCAAATCAAGACAACTATGAGATCATCTCACCCCAGTAAGAATAGAAAAATTTAACACAACAGCAAGCAACAAATGCTGGCAAGGTTGTGGAAAACCTGGAACCCTTATTCACTGTTGGTAGGAGTGTAAAATATTTCAGCCACTATGGAAGGCTGTATGGCACTTTCTTAAAAAGTTGCGAATAGAAATACCTTTTGACCCAGCAATTCCACTACTTGGAATACACCCCAAAGAAACCATAACTGCCACCCAAGCAGATATATGCACACCATGTTTATCGTGGCTTTGTTCACAATAGCAAAGAGTTGGAAACAACCTAAGTGCTCATCAACAAACAAATGGATAG